AGGCAAGGGATGTCTCCTATTTCCTAGCTTATGAAGAGTTTTTAGTCAAGTATTTTTTCTGCGTCTTTTATTTCTCTGTCAATCGTTTAACATAGTAAATTCCCACTTCGAGATCTATATTGTTTCCTCCCTGCCATTCTTTTCCTTCTCTTCTGCAGTGCCTATCAGGCAAATGGAGTTTCTGAATTTGGTGTCCATATATTTTAACTTTTGTCTAACATTTTATTTTCTTTGGCTTTTTGAATTTATCCTGGGAGTATCTTAGTGATCTTCCAGTTCACTAATTTCTTAGTTGTGTCCATTTCTGTTTGTCTGTTGAACTTTTCTTTTGGCAGTAATATTCTTATTTTCCATGTTTCTCATTGATTCTTTTCCTAACAGCCTATCTTACCCATTTAAGGTTATTAATTATATTGTAAAGTATTTTTCTATTTGCTTTATAGTGTATTTCACTAGTTGTAAGTTCTATTTGTTGAATATATGAGGGTACTTAAATATTTTAATGTTGTATGATTCTTGCTTAGGCTCTTTGCATTTGAGATGAATATGAATTATGAATGCATTTATTTCTTTTTACTGTAGTGTATATTAATCTGCCTCTAGGAATTATAGAGGACAGACAGGGTGTGCTCTCAGATGAATATTGTCAATAGTTATCTTCTGGCAGTGGGTCTCCTTGTCCCTTAAATTCAGTACCTCCTTGGGATCATTGTCCTTGCTCTTGAATTATGTTTTTAAAAAATGTCTATCAGTAATGTACATAAGTAAACCTGTAACTCTGTTTTATTCCTACATTCTCCTTGTTTTGTTTTAATCTATGTGTTTTCTAGTTTCTTTTTTTTTTGGTGGGGGGTGGTGGGGACAGAGTCTCACTCTGTCGCCTAGGCTAGAGTGCAGTGGCACATCTCAGCTCACTGCAACCTCCTCCTCCCTGGGTCAAGTTATTCTCCTGCCTCAGCCTCCTGAGTAGCTGGGACTACAAGTATGTGCCACCACACCTGGCTAATTTTTGTATTTTTAGTAGAGATGGGTTTCACCGTGTTGGCCAGGCTGGTCTCGAACTCCTGACCTCAAGTGATCAGCCCATCTCTGCCTCCCAAAGTGCTGCGATTACAGGCGTGAGGCACTGTGCCCAGCCTAGTTTTTCATTTTTTCACCTGAAAAGTGTTTTGACTCATTCCTTTTCCATTCCTTTTGCTCAGTGTTGTCCTCTAGGCAATTTCCCTGTTCTCAAGCCACAACAAAGCCATCAGAGTTCGATTGCATCTCAGATGGTTTTCATGTAAGCCCCTGAAATGTAACTTTGATATTTAGGTTTATATTTCACAATTTTAGCAGCATGGCATCCAAGACATAATTTTTAAAGCCAGTTATCAGTTATCTACAAGTGTATTATACACATTTAAGATTATCCGTATCAAAAATAAGTTTTTATTGACAATAACACCTCATTTCCTGGTGTAAGGACCTTTTTTTCAAGGATCTTTTATTTAAATAATGTACTTCTGGCCAGATAAAAAAATCAAAAAGTTATCAATGAGTTCCAGTAAAAGTGAAAAACAACAAATTTATAAACTGGTGCTTGTTAAGCTCTGATTTCAACTAGTATCTCAGTATGAATGTCCGAAGAGAAGATGCTGGTTTTACCCAGCAGTGAGAAAGCTAAGCAGTAAAGTAAGTCACAGAAGTCAACTAACTTTTAATTTCTTCCTAAGAAAACCATAATAAAAACAATGCTGAAGTATATTCTGAATCAAATATATATGTTTCTTTAAGCTGCTCCTTTGAATTACCTATTGCCTAAAGTTTCCACTGTTAGTGCAACTAATTGAATAATTATGCAAGGAAAGTTGTTATTGACATCCAAGATTTTGTTTGTAGTAAAAATGTGATTTAATTCCCCAATTTTTCTTTTATATATAAGATTAAAATTTAGACTTTCATCAGCCTATCCTTTTGGTCTTTAAAATATCTGAAATCTAACTGTAATTCTATGACAGGAGGTCCATGATTAATTGATTTTAATAAATTTTCTACTCTGTAACAGCTCTCTGATCTATACATCCTGTCATTGAATATTTTTAGTATTTGAGTCAAAATCATCTGAGTGAAAGAATGTAAATTCAAAATGGGCAATTGCTGGTATGAGATTTACCCAAAACCAAGGGTCCTGAGTAGGAAAGCATATGCATACAACCTAGTGTCAGTTAGGAACAAGTTGATGATATATCATATTACAAACTATAGATTTGAAATACTTTTAAATAGGATTTTCAATCCAAGGGTCTCTGTTTCCAAGATGAGTCTTCAGAGGCCAGCTAAGTTTCTGCTAAAACTGGAAAGCTGCTCCTAAGGGAGTGTAATACTTACCGAACGACCCAAGTTTCACTTATTCAGTTACTCACTATCAGGTAATTGTTAAGCATGTGGAAAGGATTCTTTATTACTCTGTAATGATACCGAATCTAATAAAATATGATCCCTCTCTCCAAGAAAGAGTTTATCATGGTAATTAATATGCCATATTTTAGTGTCTGCAGACTTGGATTTTAGTCCCAACTCTGCCATTTACTAATTGTCTGACTTAAGGAAAGTATCTTAGTTTGACTCTACGTCCTTATTGCCTTATCTTGAATAAAATAAGATAATAATAAAAATACCTATTTTGTTCTAAGGATTAAATGATAAAATACACATGAATTGCCTAATACAATAACTGGCATATTTTAAATACTCAATGTATGTTAGCCAAAAAAATAATTATCATTGTTACTGCAATCTAGCTTGGGAAGTAAGATTTACAACCACAATGTGTCAAATACCAATTTAAGATAATAATGGATTAAATTATTAATTATTACTATGTACTGAGAATGCTGTAGGAAACAAGCCTTCTCTGATCATGCTATATATACGATGTACGTGTATATATACATGCACACCCCCTCAGCAAGCTGTTTGTTGCCTTCCTTGCACTTATCACAGTCTTTAATTTTTGTTGCTAGTTTCTTATCTGTCTTCCCCACTATATTATAAGCCCTTTTTGTACTGGGGCCAAGTTTCTCTATTCATTCTTTGCATCTCCAGCACCTACTATAGTGCCTGAAAAAGAGTAGGCACTCAATAAATATTTGTTGAATACATGAATTAGACAAGGGGGAAATTATTGTTGGCCAGCATGATCAGAGCAACATTGTGGAGAGGATACACTTTAAATAGATCTTGAAAAATGAACAGGATTTGTATGGACAGAAAGAGGCAATAATACATTTTGAGTTAAGATTGAAGGAAGAATGATGTGTTAATAGATATGAAATAACAGCCGGGCATGGTGGCTCACTGAGCCTGTAATCCCAACACTTTGTGAGTCTAAGGCAGGCAGATCACTTGAGGCCAGGAGTTCAAGACCAGCTTGGGCAACATGGTGAAACCCTATCTCCACTAAAAATACAAAAATCAGCCAGGCATTGTGGCGTGTGCCTGGAGTCCCAGCTATTCTGGAGGCTGAGACAGGAGAATTGCTTGAACCCTGGAGGCACAGGTTGCAGTGAGTTCAGATCGTTCCACTGCACTCCTGCCTAGGTGATAGAGAGAGACTCTGTCTCAAAAAAAAAAAAAAAAAAAGATATGGAATAACTAAAACACAGTAAGTAGACATGAAGAGTAAGAATCATTGAATTTCAGAGGAAAAGTTCACTGGCGTAAATGGTCTTTGGATACCTCTTCAGCATACAGATGAGAAGAATAAGACATAGAGAGTGACATAATCAGTTTTAGAATTCATATCTTTTCATGTAACTATCCAAGCATGTAAGTACTATATCATGTAAGTAATAGAGCTTACAGTATAATAGGGGAAACTAGAACCCATGACTTTAGGCTGTCAATTCCATGAAGTAAGAAATAGATGGGGAGGTAACTATGAGCATGGAGTCTAATTAGGAAATAATTGTGATAATCCAAATCAAAAATGAGTAGGGAAACAAGATATAAAGCAAGAGGAATCTTGTATTATAGTTCACTATGCTCTTTTAGATTGGATATGAATATTTATGGTTACAGTAAATATGAGACCAAGTAGAATATTCATGAAGGTATACATGCACTCTGTTACACTGTAACTGATAGTCTTTTATATTATGCTTGGATGATACATAAATGTAAAAAACAAAATGTACTTTATTTTTAGAGATTCTTTATGAAAATGCAAACAGGTTCCATAGAACCTAGAGATAATCAAAAACTTATCTGGGACAGTTTTGAAAATGAAGGCACTGTGTGTACCATGTGGTAGTGTTAAGTGCCCTTATAACAAATCATACCCATAAGAGCCATAGACAAATAAACGTTTCAAAAGTGGGCTGATGGCTTCTGACAGCAGTATAAAGCCATCTTTCAGAGCCAGTAATTCAGTCAGACCCATCTGAATCATTTCCTCTATAAATCGTCTTTAGTAGGAATACAAGAAAAAGCACCAGTGAACTAATAATTATCTCCTCTTTGTCATCAGAGTGGCCTAGGTTAAGAAAATGCCACCTTAAAACTAATTTAATCTTTTAAAATTTACCTGAAATTATTCTGTTATATTTTTGATAAAATATAGCATATTTGAATATTATGTATTTTTCTTTTACATGTATAGATTTAGAAAGTTTATGGTGATAAAGATAAATATGTACCTCCGCATTATTTTAGACTATAATTTTTAAATATTTTGACCAAACTAACCAAATTAGTCATCTATTTAATAAACTATTAATAGTAAGTATAGCCTTAGTCTTTTTATTATTTTCCTTCTTTTCACTTTAATAAAAAAATTACCTAATGAATTAAATCATAAACCTGCAAGTTATCAACTGGCCCATACTACAACTCCATATTAATGATGCAGCTGATGAAAATAAGTATCAATAACCTAAAGATGCATAGTGCTAGGGACAAAGGTGGCATTTTACATTTTTATTAACACTTGTAATTTTCTTCTGCTTGATTTCTTTTAGGCCAAGCCCAATTTCTTCTAAACCATGGGTCAGTGAGCTCATGCTGATTCTCACATGAATGATGGGCTTGATTTTGCAAAGATATCACCAACTACCAACACCTAGGTCTAGTTACCAATGTTATGAACAACCTAGAATATAACAATACAAATTAGAATGCATTATTTCCTTTAATTTCACTAACTGGCAATATTAGACACCAACAGAATTGTGTATGTTTGTGAAGCATTACATTTTTAAATGTTATTAATGTGGAAGTAACGAAATCGCGTTAAATTCAACGATAATACTCTAAGTATATGTTATCTTTCCTTGTTAAATATCATGGAAATAAAAAAGAATTTGTGTTAACTTAAATGTTCTTACTAAGGTAAAGTTTTGTATTTAGTAAATGATCTCTTGTAACCAGAGTAAGTTTGAGAGCAACCAGGTTTCACCACTGTAATACATATCTGCAATAGCAGCTTTTCTGCATCCCCCAAAATGAAAACAATATTATATTAATAAATCCTAAGAAGCTTCTATTGGCTTGATAAATAAGTACATTTAAAATACAAGTTAAAAAGGATTTGTTTAAATACTTTAAATGTCTTTATCATACTATTCTAGTGATGTCAAATACAATTTTCATTTTCAAGAGATTTTGGTTAGAATTTAATCTTTGAAAATATTAATAACAGCTTACAGCAGGTAAGCTATAAAATAACACTGGATGCTGTCTATTTAGTTTCTGGTTGAAAAAGCACAGCAGTACTTTAGTTCATTACCTTTGAAAAAAACAGTAACAAGATAATACAGCTGCCTCTGATTAAGATGTAAATTCTTTCTAATTAGAATGTAAATTCTTACATTTAAATGAAGACATCAATTGTCAGGATGCCATATGATATCTTATTCCACCTTGCGTGAATGAAGCCCTCACTGCTCATCTATGGCACTAAAATAGTTTTGCAATCCCTTTGTTCTCTGATTCTTGTAATATTCTCTCTTCATGTTCCCTTTTCACATTGCTTTTGTTTGTTTTCCCCCTTGCATCTGATATTGTTGTGCCTTGGGATTTTGCAGAAATTTGGAATGAAAATTGAGTTCAGTCAGTGCCAGTATTTGCTTGTGCCTCAATTACTTCTGCTGAATTTTCCTCAATGCAAATCAGGCAGGTTGCATAAAGTGGTGCATGTATTTGAAATAATTAATTTTCCGTAAAATGATGGATCAAGTCCAATCAACCTTCATGAAATCTAAATAATAGAATAGAGAATTAGAAATTAATTAACATTTTGTGTTGTTAATACTTTATGGTATAAACTAGCAATGGTAAGTTTTACTGTTGATTCTAACTTTTTCTTTATCAAATGTTGATGAAAACCTTCTGCCTCAATCATTTCTTGCCAGAAATATGCTAACAAGGAATTCTGTATCAATAACATTGAAGCAAAGATTTCAAAGTATAATGATTATACAAACAATTGACCAGTGAGTTAAATTATTTGTACTTCTCTTTACTGAGCAATGGTAAAAGTTTTATCTTGCATAATATACTCTAATTTATAGAAATCTACTATTAATGTCGGATAAGGCCATGACCCTTTGAGCATCATATTATTATATATTTATGCTGTGTTTCCTCAACCAAAAGAGGTGTAACTTTAGAGGCAAACTCAATTCCACCAACCTTACAGTGCTCGACAAGGAGAAACCTAGACATTGAAAGAAAGCTTTACAGGTAGAAGAGTACCTACCCAATTTTGTTTTATTTATTTTTAACTTTTTATTATAGAAAATTTCAAACATGCACAAAAGTAGAGAATAATATAATAAACCCCTATGGACCCATCGACCATCTTCTCTCCTCAAGGAGGTAACAGGGAAATTAACATATAAACCCGCAATATAATGATTGGAATGCAAATAACAAACAATAATGTGCAATGGAAGCTAAAATGCAGTTAGAGAATATGAATGCTGTAAGTGCTTAGAGAAGGACAGTTTGTGCTGAATGGACAGAGAAGAGAAAGAACATGTCAAGCAGAGTAGAAATATATAAGAGATTTGGGGGTGACCAGTGTCTGTGATGGTATAGAAAAGACCAGCACTGTATGATAATCGTAAGTTTCATTTTGGATGTAAAACTACTTAAGTCTGGTAAGATGTAGGGATTTGAGAGCCAGGCAATACATTTTAGTAACAATTAGCCAAGGTAGTATTTTAGGCATGATAATGATAGAATGAAAAATAATTTCTTGTTTTGAACAAAACTTTTTTTTCTCTTGTTGTAATTAAAATCATTTCCTTAGAATTTTTTTATCATGTTCACAAACAGAAGGACATTCTAGTGACTAAAGGATAAATTGCAAAGAAAAATTTTTTATTTCTAACCCAGCTAGTTAAATGTTAGCAATGACTCCGCAGTGATGATGTTTACTATATTTCATTTTACTTCTTCCAGTACAATCAAGAGAAATATCACTGTTGTTATTCATATTGTTACTTAAAAGTTGTTTAAAACCATATTTGTTTTTACATAATTCCAAATTTGTGGAATTTACATGCTGTACCAGTTTTCCATTGCTGCTATGAAAAATTGCCATAATTTTAGTGGGTTAAGCAATACAGATGTATTTTCTTACAGTTCTGGCAGGCAGAGGTCCAAAAAGGGGTCAGTAGAGCTACGTTCCTCCTGGATGGTCCAAGGAAGAAGCTATTCCCTTGCCTTTTCCAGCTTCTAGAGGTTGCCTGCATTCCTTGGCTCATGGCTTCTTCCTCCATTTTCAAAGCAAGCAACATTGGTTTGAGTCCTTCTTATGTTACCAACTCTGAGTTTTTTTCTGCCTCTCTCTTTCACTTTTGAGGATCCTTGTAATTACATTGGACCCACTCAAATAAACCAAGATCTCCCTATTTTAAGGTGACCGATCGGCAACCTTAAGTCCATCTTTAACCTTAATTCCTCTTCGCCATTTAAGGTAACATATTACAGGTTCCAAAGAGTATGGTGTGGACATTTTTTTAGGACTGTTATTCTGCCTACCACACATTTCTTTCATTTTTACTCGTCAGTAACCACTATGATAGTTCGTAGAGACAGAAGAACCACTTCATTGGCTCAGATGGCATCTCTTTCTCATATTTAAAATAAGCTAATATTTCCATTTTAGCTGAGTTTGAGAAAAAGAAGAAAGAGAAATTAGACTAAATGCTACAAATTAAAATTGTACAACCAAATGTAATCATTTGTATTAAAAATGCTTACTAAAATCAGTCTTTGTGGACATGGCCAAAAAAAACTGTGTTTCAAAGAAGGGAATAGGAAACCAGAATTAGTTGATTACTTTCTATGTGGTGGACACTGTAATAAATATATTACAGATTTTATTACCTTTTTAATATTTAAACACTCCTATTATTAGCTATATTTTCCTTTTAAAGATAAGAAGCTGAAGATGGAAAAATGTAGGTAGCTTCCCAAAAGACATGCACACAGTTACTGAGAGATTCCAATGTGTTCATGTTACAGCATGCTGAATTGTGTGAAATGTCAGTTGTATCAATCAAGAAACAATTTCTAAATATTAAGATCAGGCATTCAAAGTATTGTGGAACCAGCAAGCAAATATGAGACATAATCCCTGCCTTCAAGGAATTTGTAATCTAGTTGTAGAAATGAGGCTAAACACATAGCTTAAGTGTTTTAAAGCATGAATTCTGGTGTCAGACAGTTTTAGGTTAGAATCCTTGCTCTTTTACTGCTTCATCTTTTGCTACTTATATGTGAGCCTAGGTTTCCTTTCCTGCCTCATTGGGTTGTTACAAAGATTAACTATACATTAAATCAGTTAGCCTAGGATCTGACACAGAGCAAGCACTTAGTAGATGGTAACTGCTTTACTATAATAAAATTCAAACACTACAAGGCTGAGTTAATTATTACACGGTCAAGGGATACAGGAGTTTAGCAGAAGAAAAGCTAATTGTCAAACCAGTGATTTCATGTAAAGTTAGAGATATATATTAATACAAGGAGGTTTGTTTGTTTGTTTGTTTGTTTGTTTTTGAGACAGGGCCTCGCTGTGTCCCCCAGGCTAGAGTTCAGTGGCATGATCGTAGGTCACCGCAGCTTCCAATTCCTGGGTTATAAACCGTCCTCCTGCCTCAGCCTCCCGAGTAGCTAGGACTCTGGGCACACACCACCACATCCAGCTAATTTGTTTATTTGGTAGAGACAGGATTTTGCTATGTTGCCCAGGATGGTGTCGAACTCCTAACCTCAAACCATTCCCTTGTCTCAGCCTCCCAAAGTGCTGGGATTGCAGGCACACGCCACCATGCTCTGCCTAGTTCTTTATTTATGAAGTTCTTGAGTAGCAGTACAGTGTAGTGGTTAAGTGCACTGGCTCTGGAAAAGAGTATCTGCTTTTACATTCTATCTCTTTACTAATTTGTCTATGCCTCAGTTTTCTCATTTGTAAAATGGGGATAAATACAGTTTCTATATCATGGAGCTGATAAGATTAATATGCAAAGTGCTTAGAAGTGTATCTGGCACATAATTGTCACATAAGTGTTGTTATTAATACCAAGGATATACCATATGTAGCCCATCAGTGATCCATTGTAGTTGACAGTGATAGTAAGAAATAATACATGTAGTTTCAGTTTCCCATTGCAATATAGGTGATTTACATAGCTGGACAACATTACCAATAGGATAAGCATTATACAGGGATATATCAAGTACCTGCAATGTACCTAGCAGTAAGCTTTGGATAATACAACATAACAAACATTCTCAATTTCTATAAACCTCCCTGTCTAGGTGAGAAGACAAAACTGATAGTGAATGAAATGGAGACTAATTAAGTTCTAAAATGAGAGTAAATTGATGCCAAATGCAGTAAGAATTCAGAGAAAAGAGAAATCTTTATGGACTATATTGCATTACTAGAAAAAGTAGGACTTGAACTAGGTCTGGAATAATGGATGAGATTCTATTGACTGGTGAGAAGAAAATGAACAGTTCTAAATATAAGAAATTGCTCAAACTGGGGGTCTTATGTGTCTTTTATTCTAAACTTTCTCCCCAACTTGTTAATTTGGCAGCAGGAAAAAAAAAATGAATGAGGAGGCCACAAATGCCGTAAGCCTGAGGAATCATAGATAAATGAAGGAATTGAAGGGATTTAAGAACAAGGAGTCTGTGGATAGAATTTGGCAGTTCCAGGAACTTGAGTTGAAGAGAAATGTACATGTTTATTCTTACTAAACTCCCACTGAAACGTAACATTTTCTTAGTTATAAATCTAGGCAACAAACCACAATCGCGTTAGCAGTAACTGTGACTATTGTCAACAGAAATCACAGACTTTTTCATGTATTTATTGCAGTCTCAAAGTATTACTTATCTCCTTTGTAATATATTAGTATTAGGCCCACTGCTGTTCTTGTTATTCAATGGTTAATAAAAATGTGCAGATAGATGGTTATATAAAAAATGAATTTATGGCAAGAACGGTGGCTCACACCTGTAATCCCAGCATTTTGGGAGGCTGAGGCGGGCGGATCACGAGGTCATGAGTTTGGGACCAACCAGGCCAATATGGTGAAACCTCATCTCTACTAAAAATACAAAAATTAGCTGGACATGGTGGCCCACGCCTGTAGTCCCAGCTACTCGGGAGGCTGAGGCAGAAGAATCGCTTGAACCCAGGAGGCGGAGATTGCAGTGAGCCGAGATCGCACCACTGCACTCCAGCCTGGGAGACAGAGTGACTCTCTGTCTCAAAAAAAAAAAAAAAAGAAAGAAAGAAAAAAGAATTTATTATTTGATAACATTTCAGTGAAGTTTATTTCCTTTGTAGTTTAGTGTATTTTATTTTATACATTTAAAATCATTATTCTGAAAAAATGACCTCATCATAGTGCTTCTATTTATGGACCTGGGAATATATTAGTTTTTTGATAACCACATCCATGGTTGACTCATATTGAGTTTACAATCAACTACACCCCACCCTTTCTTTAATGGACCTGGGGTCTCACTGTGTTGCACAGGCTGGTCTCAAACTCCTGGACTCAAGTGATCCATCTGCCACAGCCTTCCAAAGTGCTGCGATTACAGGCATGAGCCACTGAGCCCAGCCCCTAAAACCCTCTTTTCATGTGTGCTGCTTTAGTCTATGTTTATTTCTGAATATAGGCAAATAGCATTACTATCAAACTAGTAGCTGGAACTGGCAAACATCATGAAATTCTTAGAGCAGTACTTTATAAAATTTCTACCTACCTAAATACAGACCTGAATATTAACCATCTGAGGTGGTATCTTGCCAGATATTTTCTATATGCAGATATGCCTGCCGAAGAAAAATTATATTTCTTTTGAAAACAGTGGTGCTTTCTGGTTTGCTTTGCATAATGAGGAGTAGAAAAGGGCTATTCTGGTGATTATTGCTGTGTGTTAAACCACACTAAAACATAGTTATGGAAAACACTCATTACATTCAAGGCTTTTGTGGGTCAGGAACTTGTGTAGGGAACAGCAGGCATGCTCATTGGATGCACTATTCCATAGTACCTAGATACTCAGTCGGAAAATTTTGATGGCTAACGTGTGGAATCAACTAGGAGTGTCTTCTCTGACCTATGTAATGGTTGATGCTGACCGTCCACTAGGACCTTAACTGGAGCTGTCTTCTGGAGCACCTGTGTGTAGCCTTTGCATGTGGCCTGGACTTCCTCACAGCATGGTGATCGCTTCTTACATGATGGTCAAACTACTCAGATGGCAGCTTAGGCTCCAAAAGCTAGTGTCATAGTAAACAAGATGCATTGCCTTTTATGACTCATCTCAAAACTGACAAAGCTATCACATCTGCTATACTTTATGGATTAGAACAATAACAAGTTCACTCAGATTCAAGGGGAGAAAAATTAAGCCCTGACACTTAATGGTGGAGGAGCAAGGTCACAGTGTACAAGAGCATATGGAATGGGTGATGCTGTATAGTGTATTTGGAAAATACAGTCTGGGCACAGTGGCTCACACCTGTAATCCTAGTACTTTGGGAAAGCAAGGTGGGAGGATCACTTGAGCCCAGGAGTTTGAGACCAGCCTGGGCAACATAGTGGGACCTCATCTCTACACATAATTTTTAAATTAGCCAGGTGTGGTGGTTTGTGCCTCTGGTCCCAGCTACTCTGAGAGGCTGAGGGGAGAATCTCCTGAGCCCAAGAGATTGAGACTGCAGTGAGGC